ATATGAACTGAAGTGAACAGAACCAGAACAATTTTTTACAATGATAACAAAATGGTAAAGACAAACAAAAAGACAACGAAGGAATTCTGATCAATGTTAATAATCAAATACAGATTCCTGAAGACTAGTGATGAAATATACTATAAGCTACCCAAAAGGTGGACTCAGGGTACAGAACAAGATACATACATATATATGTTTCAGATATGGTCAATTTGGAAATTTGTTTTGCTTGACCATACAGGTTTGGAATAGGTTTTTCTTTTGTTCTCAAAAGAGAGAGGGGTGAATGAGATAAGGTAGATTTTGTTGATTAAAAAAATACAACCTAACTTTAAAAAAAAATCAGGTTAAATCTCACCTTCTAACCCTAATTCCAAGACTCATAATGAAACATGTTACCTAACTCCTGATCCTGATAGAAGTGATACTCATAGGAGACAGAGAGATAGACAGACAGACATGGCCAATGTGGAAATTTCCTTTGACTACACATATTTGTAATACAGATTTTTTTCTTTCTCAGTGGGAGTGGGGGGAAGCAGGGAAGAGTGGGAGGGAAAGCAGATTTCTGTTAATTGAAAAAATCAAAATTTTTAAAAAAAGTTTAAATTACACAATTACAAAATGCTTTTCAAGCAAATAAGGTCAGATCTAAATTACTGGAAAACCATTAGTTGCTCATGGATTAATATATTGAGCTAATATAACATAATTAGCTAACATAATAAAAATGACAATTCTACCTAAATTAATTTACTGATTCAGTGCCATACAAATCAAACTACCCAAAATTATTTTATAGAGCTAGAAAAAACAATAATAAGATTTATCTGGAAGAATAAAAGGCCCAAACAAAAGGGAACTAACAAAAAAAAAATACTAAGAAAGGTGGCCTAGCCATACCAGATTTTAATTGTATTATAAAGCAGCAATCATCAAAACTACTTGGTACTGGCTAAGAAGTAGTGTGGTGTATCAGTGGAATAGGTTAGGTACACAAGACACAGTAGTCAATGACTATAGTAACCTACTGTTTGATAAACCCAAAGACCCCAGCTTCTGGGACAAGAACTCACTATTTGATAAAAACTGCTGGGAAAACTAGAAAAAAAAAATGGCAGAAACTAAGCATAGACCAAAATCTTACACCATATACCAAAATAAAGTCAAAATGAGTACATGATTTAGATATAAAGGCTGATACTATAAGCAAACTAGGAGAGCAAGGAATAGTTCACCTGTCAGATTTATGGAGAAGAAAAGAATTTATGACTAGAGATAGAGAACATTATGAAATGCAAAGTGGATAATTTTGATTAGATTAAATTGAAAAGTTTTTGCACAAAGCCAATGGAACCAAGATTAGGAAGGAAGCAGAAAACTGGGAAAGAATTTTTACAACCAGTATCTCTGATAAGGGCCTCATTTCTAAAACATATACAGAACTAATTCAAATTTATAAGAATACAAGTCATTCCACAACTGATAAATGGCCAAAGGATATGAACAGGCAGTTTTCAGAAGAAGAAATTAAAGCTATTTATACGCATATGAAAAAATGCTCTAAATCACTATTGATTAAAGAAATGCAAATCAAAACAACTCTGAGTTACCACATCACACCTATCACATTGGCTAACATGATAAAACAGGAAGATGATAAATGTTGGAGATGTGGGAAAATTGGAACACTAATGCATTGTTGGTGGAGTTGTGAACTGATCCAACTATTTTGGAGAGCAATCTGGAACTATGCCCAAAGCGCTATAAAAATGTGCATACCCTTTGACCCAGCAATAGCACTTTTAGGGCTGCATCCCAAAGAGATCATCAAAATGGGAAAGGGACTTACATGTACAAAAATATTTATAGCAGCTCTTTCTGTAGTGGCAAAGAAATGGAAATAGCGGGATGGCCATCAACTGGGGAATGGCTGAACAAATTGTGGCATATGAATGTAATGGAATACTATTGTGCTATAAGAAATGATGAGCAAGCGAACTTCAAAAAAACCTGATAAGACTTGTATAGACTGATGCTGAGTGAAATGAGCAGAACCAGAAGAATGTTGTACACAGCAACAGCCACAATGTGTGATGACTAACTTTGAAAGACTTAGCTCTTTTTTCTTTTTGTCTTTCATTTTATTTGTCACTGTTTGGGAAGTTTTATTCTATTTTGATTGTTTCCTATGTTTTTGAAAAGATACTGGGAAAATAGGTTGATTGTTGTCCTTCATTCTCAAACAGGACCAAAACAACATCACTACATTGGGGTCAAGGTACAGTGTATCCGATTGTGACAAGACTTAGTTCTCAGCAATGCAAGGATCTAAAACATCTCTGAAAGTCTCATGATGGAAAACGCTATCCACATCCAGAGAAAGAACTATGGAGTCTGAATACAGATTGAAGCATACTATTTGCTCTTTTTTTCTTCTGTTTTGTCTCTTCTTTCTTATGATTCCTCCTATTGGTTCTAATTCCACCTATTGGCTCTATCCACTGAACCACCTAGCTGCCTAGCATATAGTAGGCATTTAACAAATGTCTTCTGTTTATTTACTTTTATCTGTGTCATTTCCCTCCAATGGAATATAATTTTCTTGAGGGCAAGAACCATTTAATTTTTGTCTTTCAATCTTCAGGGACTGGCACAAAGTAGACACTTCTATGCTTGTGGAGTGAAAAGGTTTAGTACAGGTATCAGGAACCCTTTCCTGATCCTACCAATTTTTTTTTGCCCCAGGTAAAAGTGATTTCCCCTTCCTCACATGTTACTAGAGCAGTATAACTGGATTTTTTTTTTGCTTGCCCCTGTCACATTCTACCACGTACACTTAAGACTGTCATTATCACCCATCTAAAGTATTGCAATAACCTCCTAACAGGTTTTTATACCCTGATTCTCTCTCCATTCCAGTTCATATAATAGCTAATATTTACATAGTACTTAAAGGTCTGCAAAATACTTTACATAGATATTTCATGACTTCCAGAATAATATTTCTAATAGACTTAGTCAAGTCATTCATCTCAAAGATCTCAAGAAAGATCTTATTGCCTATACTGAATAGAGTTCAAATGTCTTTAAGACTATTCAAAAACTGGTACCACCCTACCTTTCCCATTTTATATCATACTGCTCTCCTCCACATTCTCCATGCTCTAAGACAAAATGGACTATTCAGTGCTCTCTTGGACATGTCCTAAACTCATTCCACTATACCTTTGTATATGCTGCTCCCTATGTCTGGAATGTCAACCTCCCACTCTTACTTAATTCCTTCCTATTCTTGGAAACCCAACTCAAATGCCACTGCCTCCATGAAACCTTTCCTACCTGATCTCTTAGGCAGCTGACTACCTCAAACATTGTATTTTGTTTTATACTTCTTTAATGTACTGATGCTTTGTAATATACTTATGTTTGTGTCTTGATGCCTCTGCTAGATTTTAAGTTCCATGAGGACAGTGGTTTCATCTTATTTTAGAACCAGAGACAGAATTGGAAGAGACTTCAAGGGTCGAGTTCAACACCCTCAATTTGTAGATGAAGATACTGAGGCCCAGAGAAGTTGTGATACAAAGTGATCACAGGCAGTAAATGGCAAAGGGAATATTTGAAATCAGGTTATCTCACTCCAAATCTTTTCCACTTCACCCATGCTACCTTTCAATTTTGTATTTACCTCAGCACTCAGGACAATGCTCTATACAGATTCTAGTGCTTAGCACAATGCCTGGCTACTACTAGCACTACTATGATAGGCACTTAATAAATAATTGATTGATTCTTAATAAATATTTCTTGAATGAATAAATGTGGGAATCACTTCTGGGGTCAACTCTAGGAGTTCGGTGGATAGTGTGGAAATGGCTCTGGAGGAGGCACTGTGATTACATTTTTGGGGAAAATCTTTCTGACTACATAATACATAGTCTTGGACAAAATAATTAGCCTCTCTGGGCTTCAATTCCTCCTTTATAATGAGTGATTGAACTAGATGGGCTCTAAGATCCCTTCCAACTCGAAATCTATGATCTTATATTTACTTTGGAATAAGTCCCATCATATCTCTGAGGCTGAGTGTCTTCATTTATAAAACGAGGGGACTGAATACTCTATACAATGATAATATACAATGATAATACTATTTTAAAAGACTTTAGAACTCTGATGAACACAATGTTAAATTGAGTCCAAAAGAACGAAGATGAAACACGTAACTCATTTGCTTCCAGAAGGAGTGATTAACTTAAAACACAGAAAGAGACAAACATTTTTCCAACATGGCCAGTGTGGAAACTCATTTTGCTGGAATGTGCACATATGTATACAAGCACACACCTATCTATAGATGTGCTGGTCCAAACCGCGCACTCTCTTACAGCCAGATCAGGCAACCAGGGTCATACTCACCGGTCCTCGGGGTCACCCGGATTTACCAGAGACGAGCTGATCAGGAGGTGCAAAAACCTGAACTTTATTCAATAATCATCACAGCAAGGCCAGGCAGGAAAGCACATGCGCACGAGCAGGAGCAAAAGCCGACTCCGCCCCCATCCCTACAGTACTTTTAAGTCTTCCACGTCCCTCCTCCTCAGCCCGCCCATAGTGACTCGTCGAGGATCAAATATTGGAAGAGGTTGTCTAGCACTAGTACCCAGACAAAGGGAGCATACGTGGCACAGGAAGTGGGGCCTAGATATTTGGAAGGAGGCGTGAGGGATCAGTGCACAAAGGAGAAAGTACGTGACGCAGGAAGTCGGGACCAGATACCGGGGGGGGGGGGGGGGGGGGGCGGGGGGGGGCGGGGGTCCCCCCGGGGGGCATACGGGCCTCAGGAGGTCAGGTTTGGTCACAGGAAGGAGGCGTCTGGGGTTAGCGTGGTACCTAAGGAAGGAGGCTAGACAGAGAGAGCTTGTTCTCTGCCGTCCCACTCCCAAGTGGCACAGCCCCTGCCTCAGGAGTACGTACTCCGGCTACTTCCTTGTACCTTGTTTCTTCTCCAGCTTGTCACAGCTCCACATAGCACTGCCCCTGCCTCAGGAGCGTGAGCTCCAGTTGCTTCTCCGTATCCAGATCCCATCTCAGTACACCACAACTCCACCTAGCACAGCCCCTGCCTCGGGAGCGTGAGCTCTGGTTACTTCCTAATACCCAGTTCCTGTCCCATGTTGCCACAACCTCCACTTGGCAGTAGCTAACACCAGACAATCCCTCACATATAGATGTGTATGTATATACATATATATGTATTGGGAACTTATTATTTTTAAAATTTGCTGCTGAGGGAAGTGGGAGTAGTAGGAAGAAGAAATTAATTTTTTTTAAAAAGGTAACAGAAGAGATAAAGTATTCTCTCTGTGCTACCATGGTCAAAGGAAACATAATTAGTTTACTCCTTTATTCTCTAGAGATTTCAGACCTTGGGCAAAATGAATATAATATGAATAGCCTTTGAAAAGCAGAAAAAACAAAATGAATAAAAAAGAATGAATGTTCAAAATTTTTTTTTGTATGTCCTGTAAGGCTATCTAGGGTGCTGGTGATTTAGTGATTCTACTTCTACAAATTCTAAACTCTTGGAGGCAACACAGTATAATAGAAAGAAGACTATATTATAAATTGAGAGAACTGAGACCTAGTCCTGGCTCTGCCACTCACCAGCTGGGTGACTTTGGGCAACTCACTTAACCTCAGTGGACTTTAGTTTCCTCACCAGTAAAACTTGGATTAGAAGAACTCTGAGGCATTCAATTTCAAAGATTCTATGAGGATGCTTGATGCATCAGAAAGAATGCTGGATTATAAGTCAAGAAAAGCTGGGTTCAAAGCCTAGCTCTGTCTTTTGTTACCTACATGATCTTGCGCAAATAATCTCTTTGGGCCTCAGTTTCCTTTTCTGTAAAGTGAGAGGCTTGATGACCTTTGATATACCTTCCAACTCTAAATGTAAGATCTTATAATTTTACAATCCTAGAAAAGCAATATTGGCTGATGTGTTCCCTTTTTCATTACATCATGAATAACTTTCTGATGTAAATACTGAATAAAGGCTTGAGCAGACATTGAAGGATCTGCCATATCTGTTACTGTAGAACATACACTGAAATAGTGCTTTAATATTTGCAAAGTGCTTTCTTCACAACTCTGTGATATCAGTAATTCAAGTCCCACTTTACAGATAAGGATATTGGGGCTCAAATGACTTGCCAAGGATTATACAAATTATCTCCTGTTGATTGACAGAATTTCTTCAATTGCATTTACAGGTTTTTCTCCAGGGACAATTATTTTGTGTGAAATCTCTGATGCTTACTGAGTTGTGAGCTGTGAATAAAAGTTTTTCCACACTGTTGACATTTGAAGGGTTTCTCTCTAGTGTGAGTTGTCTGGTGCCGAATAAGGTTTGAACTTCTACTGAAAGCTTTCCCACACTGAACACACCTATAGAGTTTTTCTCCTGTATGGATTCTCTGATGCTGAATAAGGTGTGAACTCTGACTAAAGGCTCTGTTACATTCATTACATTTATAGAGTTTTTCTCCTACTGTGTGAGTTCTCTGATGTCGCATAAGTTGGGAGTTCAGACAAAAAGCTTTACCACATTCATTACATTCAAAAGGTTTTTCTCCAGTATGAATTCTCTGATGTTGAGCAAGGTGTGAGCTACAACTGAAGCATTTCCCACATTCCATACATTCATAGGGTTTCTCTCCTGTGTGAGTTCTCTGATGTAGAATAAGGTGTGAACTTTGATTGAAGGCTTTTCCACATTGATCACATCCATAGGGTCTTTCTCCAGTATGGATTCTTCTATGCTGAGTAAGGTGGGAACTTGAACTAAAGCCTTTCCCACATTCTTTACATCCATAGGGTTTCTCTCCAGTATGAATTCTCTGATGTTGAATAAGCTGTGAGCTCTGAATGAAGCTTTTACCACACTCTATACATTCATAGGGTTTCTCTCCAGTATGAGTTCTCTGATGTTGAATAAAATGTGAGCTTTGACTAAAGCTTTTCCAGCATTCACTACATCTATAAGGTTTTTCTCCTGTGCAAGTTCTCTCATGTCTAGTAAGTAACGAGCTACGACTGAAACCTTTTCCACATTCATCACAAATATAGGGTTTCTCTCCAGTGTGAATTCTCTGATGTTGAATAAGATCACAATTGTATTTGAAACTTTTGTCACAGGTAGCACATTTATGAGTTCTCTCTTTCGTAGCATTTTTTTGATGAGTAGTATAGTTTGAATTCTGACCAAAATTCTTCTGAAATTGATTACACTCCTGGGCTTTTCCTGCTGAGATATTTTTATGAATCTTAGTCATTTTTCTGAAACCACTCTCCTGGGAAAAGGATTTCCTCAAAATCCCCCCTGTACAGTTTCCTTGCTGGCTTTTAAATTTTCCATCTTCTATAAAACCAGGTTCCTGAGGAATATCTTGTAGAAGTACTTCAATTGTCTTTCCATAAAAGCGTACATCTTTTGAATATTCCTGTTTTTCACATAATGGCATACTCTTTGGAACCTGAAACAAAAGGAAAAGAGAAAGTGCTAGTTTCAGAGGACATTTATTAATGTCTAAAAGGAATAGACAGTTTTGGTGGTTCTCAAAGCTGGCTTTGAAATCTACTTTCTAATAGACATTTCCCACATGGAATCCTTGCCATCTGATTTGTGACCCTGGCATTTGAACAATTAGCAAAGACCTTTTCACAGCCAACTCCAAAGTTCCTTCCCCCAAACACTTCTTTTTCACATGGTATGAAAGGTACACAATCCATTCTTCAACTATTTATCTTGACTTAAGCTGTAAGGACCCACACTTCAATTATTTTGGCTGCTACCTATCTTGAGCCACTTCATTTTATCACTCAATACTTTATGAAGACCCCTCTATCAGGACTAGGATTCCACTCTATGCTTGGATCTTAGTAACTCATTCTTCTTTCAAATCAACATTCACACATGCCTTTCATGCCTATTAGTCCTTGCACAAAGAAATTTCCCCAAACCATCCCTAGGAATTGATATGAAAATCTGGACTAGGTATCAGTCTTCTAACTTAAACATAAAACATCACTATCCCTCATAACTGACTTCCCGATCACCGTGGGTAGTGCTATCAACTCCTTAACATACCAAGTAAGGAACTCTTCCAAAATCTCCAACTGATCTCTGTCCTTTACCCCATGTGCTGTACCCTTCTTTCCCTATATCACTTTTTATACCTACCTCTTCTCTGGTTCTTCCCCTACTGCTTAGTCCACAAACTCATTTCTCACTGGATAATTGTGTGACACTCTGTACCTACTCCCTCCAACCATGCCCAATAGCTTCCTCCTCTCCATTTAGGGTTGTGGTTGAACAACTGCTTCCTTACAGCTCCATCAGGGTATTTTACCACACTTTAATTCTAACATCATAGACCTAACCTGCATGTTCTCATGTCCCCAATGCTTTCCTATAAACCAGCCTGTTCATCTCAGACATGATGATGCTTCTCAATGTTGCCCCAATCCACCTGTCCCTTTCCTACTTACAAATCTTCTCTAAAGCAATGTCTTATTCATGCGAAGCTTGACTAAGACTCTTGCTGACTGGTTGTCTCTTGCTCACGTATGCAGGAACTTGTGAATATCTACTATATCACAGATCCAGGATCCATGACTCTTTCCCTCAACCTACCAGAGAAATCACATTAGGTCTAGAAACCGGAAATCTTGCCCCTCGAGGAAAAAAAAGGGTGCTGATTTGTTGTGGGAACTCAAAACAATCTCAGGATGCAATTTCAACCTCTAGGTCTTCAAAGGGCAAGTGAAGGGCAAAAAAGTTCAGAAATGCTAGGCAGGAAGGCTCAGAGGGGAAAGGTAGGTCCTCTGAAGGAAATCCATTTCCAGGAACAGTGGAACAAATAAAAGAGAAATCTGGAGACAGAAAAGTAATAATTTAATTTAGTCTCTCTTGGCTGGAAGAATGGGAAGGTCCCACTAATAAGGATATCAACACTCAAATTCTGGAAGAGTTTGCACAGATCAGAGCAATATTTCCTAAGACACTCAAGAGGGTGAGGAAGAGGGTATCTTCTAAATATCTTAAGACAGCTTCCTATTTTCCCCTCTGCAGATACAAGACCTGTCACTTGGGGGATAAGAATAGTAATGTCCTATTTCTATACTCAAACAAAAGTTAAGTACTTGCTCAGGGTCTCACAGCTAGTAAGCATCTGAGGTTGGATTTGAACTCAGGTCCTCCTAAGTCTAGGCCCAACGCTCTTTCCACTACACCACCCAGCTGCCCCAAATGACATGAGGCAAATGAACAATAGAAACAGAGAAAAAAATGCCCCTGTTTCTGAAAAAGTATCAGAGTTTGGCATTTGAAGTGAGTGAGGCATCTCTGGGCTGGGCACAACAAGAGTGATGACTAAAAACATTAAGAATATCAGCAAAAGACACAGGTCATATACTTCAAATCCTCCAGGATAACATCCCTATAGAAGCTTCTCTGGGATCCAGATATTTCCAATTCTGTCTCATGGAAAACATGGATATACCCTCCAATGTCACTGTTTCCTGAAAAGAAAATTTCTTTTTAGATCCAAAAAATTATACTATCTCTTGGGCCAAGAGGGGGAAAGAAAAAGGGTAGACAGAGCTGACAGCCTAAATAGAGAGGGAAGAAACAGAAGGATGGAATTACAAAGTACAAACAGCTCTGGGTTAGGAGGACCAGAGGAGGAAGCCTCATATCTCAGTTCTTAACAAATATTTAATGGCACTGGGAAAACAACCACAACAGGAGAAAAGGACCGTTAAAACTACTGTAGGAGTTGGCCTATACTACTAAGCACTGAATTCAGACAGAATGCCTAGATTGGACATCACAATAAATTACTATTGCTTCTATAATGCTTTATAGTTATAAAGTTAGTATTTCACATATATTATCATGCTTTATCCTCACAAAAACCCTGTGGAGTATGTAGTAAAAATTCAAATCTTTCCAAGGCTGGCTTTGTAAATTCAAACACCAAAGCAGTAGTGACTGGAACTCTCTACATAGGCTGAAAGATGACATGATCAGAAGTGGGCAGAGGTTTGTTTACCAAGCCCTAGAAATTAAATCTGTGGCTGTTCTTAAAACTTCAATGAAGTAAATTTGGGCAAACAAAAGGAATTTCTACTTCCCAAGGTGGGAAATAGACTTACAGATCTTATTTCAGAGGATGGCTGAATCAGAATATCAACTGAGATTCAAGTAGGGTTTAGATAAAATTTTGGCTGAGTTATTGAGGGAGAACAGAGATGCTTGTGATCACTAACCTTCTGGTAATGTTCAGGAGGCCAACCCCATGTTCTCCACCTCCTATCCACTCCTTTGGGGACTTTGTCAGAAAGAGTCTTGGGCTGGATGGAGCACGGGGCAGGTCTTTCTAATGATCATCAATGAAGTTTCCCATAGTCTGAAGAAACCCAGCTGTCATGGGCCCCCTTTCACAGGAAAAGAGTCATGGGCTGTGTTTAGAGACTTAATTCCTGGTTTCATATATATTTGAGTATAAATGTAATATCTATAACCTGTGTGGGTTAGTGCCCACATGGTAGGAAGCAGGAAACCACAAAAGGAAGACCCGAGGAAATTGTGAACAATCTGAATGGAACTTCCGATCCAGCAGCAGGAAGGACCTGGAACGGGCAGAGAAGTTACAGATTGAGGGAAAGAGAAAATGCCATGGCTGGGCAATAGTGAAAGAACCTCAGGAAAGACAGCCCACTCGGAATTGGACTGTTACTAGAACATAAATGCCATTGTCTGGTTTCTATCATTCAGGGTGAGGGGAAGGGGGAAGAGCAGGCATTTGGGGAACAGGCAGAGCTAGGGAAAGACAGAAGACATACAAGAGAGCTTAGCCCTGGCCTGAAACCCCATCCCACCCTATTCATCCTTCAGTGTCTCCCTCTCGGATAGAATTCCTAAGACACCAGGCTTAGTCTCTTTCTCCCCACCCTTATACCTTCCCTATCACTAAACCACCACTATCCCATTTCCTGAGACCTCAAAGTATAAGGAGCTGTGTCTAAGACACCAGAAGGGGTTTTACATAAAAGAGAAGCCACAGTCCCTATCCTGGAAGAGACCACAGATTCCTAAGGGATTCACACAGATACTGACAGATACTCATGCCAGTGCACACATAAGTCAATTCTGCTCTCTTCCCAAGGGGACTGTCCCTTACACGCCCTGCTTTCAGGCTAACAAATGGATGTTCCTTCTCTGCCTGCAGCCCTTATATATTCCTCATGGGGATCTCACTCTAGATTTTGTGGCTACCTCAATTCTCCTCTTTAACTTTTTAAGTGGCAATGCTATTGGTGGTCCAACCAGGAGTATGTCTGTAAAAGGGCAGTCTATTGAGCTATTCTATTCTTAATGGAGTCAACTAAATGTAGCTGCTCAGAAGTAGCAACAAAGGGAAGCTTCCTGGCTCTTCTTCAATCAGACTTTTTTTTTTTTTTTTTTGAGAGGCAATCAGGATTAAGTGACTTGCCCTGGGTCACACAGCTAGAGAATAGTGTATCTGAGGCTGCATTTGAACTCAGGTCCTCCTGACATCAGGGCTGGTGCTCGATCCACTGCGCCACCTAGCTGCCCCCCTCAATCAGACTTTTACAAAATGGTTTCAGTTTCCTTATCTGTAAATTGGGGATATTTGTACTTCAGCCACAATAGTATTGTTGTGAAAAAAGCCTTCATGTTATACAAATGAGAATATTATTATCTCGTTCTTCTCATCTTGTTTGATGAACTTCAGATAGAAATGGTTCTGGACAAGTCACTAACTTGCTATTTTTTTAAAAAATTTAATGTTTATGTACAGGTAGATTTTATAGTTGAGTAAAAGGATGCTGGCTCACTGAAAGCATCTTCAGACAACTCCAGTAACAGAAAAGATGTGGGGGAAGATATGTATCTCATTCTATTCTCACAAGTTTTTATTATTATTATTATTATTATTATTATCACTATTGAAAGAACCATGGTATGGAGAGGCAGCCTCTAGCACATACTAGCAGTGTGTCCCAAGCCAACACATTTAACTTCAATGTCCCCAAGCAATGCTCTAAGACTATAAATTGCAGGGCAAAAGCAGATCTTTATTGGTAGAGGAAACTTCCTAACCGGGAGTTTCCTATGCCAATGA